AGCAAGAACGAGGCTGACGAATTCTTTCCTATACGGAAAAAATTACGAACGATTTTTTTTCCTATACGGCAAAAATACCTCAACAAGGCTGACAAATTTTTTTCATATACGGCAAAAATACCTCAACAAGTCTGACGAATTTTTTCCTATACGAAAAATGTGACTTGCTGTGGTATTTAATTTTTACCGAATAAATTCCGGACCCCAGCTATATAGTTTGTTTTTAGTCCTTTTGTGCGTATGATTCATATTAATTGATAAGTAAATGATGCGTATTAGTAATGTCAATACGTATACACAACAAAAACCAAATTCTTTACTGCTACGAAAATAATATATTCTACAGCAAAAGATTAGAAGTATTTTTTCTCAAAAAAAAAATTGTAAAATTCGTTCTGCTGATTTTTTTTTTCTATAAAAATAATCCAATAGCTCTATCGAGGAATTTCGTCATTGCAACTGAGATCTGTTTAAATTTCCCCAATAATTGTCCTTTTAATGCAGCAACATCTACCTCTGCTCTCTTCCAATACTCCTTTCATTACATCTATCAAGTGTAATTACTTAACAAATTGTATACATAAATTATCACAAGCTAATAAAAGGATTAACATGCTGGAAGAACAACAAATTTCAAACATAACATTTCACTTGACAATAACAACGAGGATATAAAAATCAAAACTAGCTGGGAGTAATGCCATACTCCAGCTTCCATACTTCAGCTTCCACAGCTCAAACCATATTCTCTATACCCAACCTCTTGAGAACAGATTTATTCGCAATGTAGGTGTCTGTAAATTTCAGCATAACACTAAATTTCGTATATATGTCTGTCAAACTGCCTCGCTCTCTCTCTATGTTCGTTTGTATGTCACTAACTAACAACAATATTGTGCTTAATTACAGCTAATTGACGCTTTACAAAAACTTGTGTTTTTCACGTCTTAAGAGTGCTTATATGCATATTTAAAAACTAAGAAGGCAGCAACAACAACATGAAATCTTTCTTTCTTCCTACTTCTGCATGTCTTTTTATGGTTTGGCTTCTAAGAGCTGTTACTTGTGCGCCACTTCGCCACTAAGTAAGTCTGCTGGAAAGAAAAGTAGCAAATGTAAAGACAAATCAGCAACAGCATCATCGTCATCCACATCTTCATACCACTGCGGAGTAACTTTAATGACATGGTTTTGAGATACGCTGCAGTATCATTGCGTTGAGGGCTACAACGCAGCATTGTAGTTTACGACGTCTACGCTGTATAAAATAAGATGATCAAGTTACAGTCATGCATTTAAGATGGGAATTTTTAAAACTGGAAATTAGATGGGTAAAAATAGGAATGATGGGATCTACAGAAATTTCTCCATCACTAAAATTCATCGATACTGCAGCGTTTATACCATGTATAGAAAACATATTCTCTATACAACACACATTTTCCTGCAGTAAATAGGCATAATACAGCTGGGGATATTTTTATTCCATAATAGTTATTTTTATTAGATAATTCAAACAGAAATATCCCTCATTATTCTATATCCGCTCTGAATCATAATTTTATGATTAATCTGACATTGGTGCGTAGTTTTGTTATTAATTAAGAAATATGGTGCGTATGAGTGTTGTCACTACGTATACGTTGCTCTGAATAATTTATAGAGTATTTACAGCAAAATTAAAACTCTCTCGTTTGCAGTAAGGTCCTTATTAAATTGAAAAAAATCAATACTAATTTTTTTATATACCTCAAAAAAAGCATCACTCCTTTTTCCCAAACCCTTTTCCCGCCACATTTGCATCATTAAAAGACATTGAGACATTAAGTGAAGAAAAATTACAATTTATTTTCGTAATTCTATGCTGTTGATGCTTAATATTTTCTCTGGCTTAAATTTCAAAATTCAATTCAATAAACAGCTAGAAATAATTCATCCTTTGCCACATTGAGTTGTTGCCAAAACTGTTGCTGGTGTTGTACATAAGCCGAAGTTGTTATTATTGTTGTTACTGTTGCTTGTCAATGTTTAATTACCAGAGACAAAAGTTTCAAGGAAGCAACACATTGTCTTTGTTGGCGGCGATAAAGCTACTTAAGTTCATTGCAGTTTTGACGAGGATAATGAGGAGTGGAAATAAAATAGAAGACAGACACTCAAGATGAAGATGTAGAGTAAAGAATTGAGAGGTAGTAGATTGAGACTAGTGTCGACAATGATTTGAAATTCGTCTGCCAAGAGATTGATGACACCAAAAAAAGGTGTAAAGGGTGTAATTAATAATATTATTAGGGAAGTTAAGAAATGTTGCAGGAAAAGAAAATAGTCCTTAATTTTTTAAATTTAATTTAATTGTACTTGAGTCAATAATTCGACGCCTCCGAAGAATAGTATGCTAAGTCTGAAAAGTAAGTTTTTCAGCAGAAGCTCTCAAAGTATGGAAGTTTTTTTAAATCATACGTGTCATTTTTGCTTATAACTTTGGTTTGGATTGGCCGATGATTACCAAAATTTCAGAGAATTTAAATTAAGGACCGTAGTATCTAAAAACGTAAAGAACTTTAAAACATGCTAAGCCGTCTTAGCATACTATACGTCGAATTTTAAATCGAAAAAAACATATTTTCAGAAGATTACAAAATATTAACAAATAATAACCACTTCTTCATATTAACTCTACCTGTTTCATGATGCGTATAATTAATTTTAATTGGCGTATACGTTTTGTCAATACTTATACGTTTCATGTTATGTTCAATAACTGTCGATTTTTCCTATTAAAACTACATCAGCAAAGACGACATATTTAGAAAAATAGACAGGAGAACTTCTTCCTAATACAAAAATATACCTCAGCCAGGTCGACGATTTTTGCATATACTGAAAAATTACCTTAGAAAGGCTGACGATTGTTTTCCCACACGGAGAAAAATCTCTCAACAAAATTGATGACTTTTTTATAGAAAAAATACTTTAGGGAATCTGGCATTTTCTCTTATTGGAAAAAGTTACTCAGCAAGGCTGAGGGATATTTTCCTATAAGCAAAAAATATCTCAAGAAGGCTGACGATTTTTTCTATTAAAAAATACCTGAACTGGCCTGATGACATTCTTTCTACAGAAAATAATATCTCAACGGGTCTGATTACATTCTTTCTATAGAAAAATTACCACAGCAATGCTGGCGAATTTTTTCCTATACGGAAAAGAATAAAAAGAAAAGAATACCTCAGCAATGCTGCCGATTTGTGATTAAAAAAACTTCAACGTTGACAAATTTTTTGCTGCCGAAAAAATACATCAGTATGGCTGACGATTTTTTTCCTATACGGAAAAGAATACCTCAACAAGGCTGACAAATTTTTCATTTACGGAAAAAATACCTCAGCAAGGCTGACGAATATTTCTCTATAGGGAAAAAATACCTCAGCAAGGCTGACGAATATTTCTCTATAGGGAAAAATACCTCAGCAAGGCTGACGAATTCTTTCCTATACGAAAAAATAACTCAGCAAGGCTGACGAATTTTTTCCTATACGAAAACATACCCCAGCAAGGCTGACAAATTTTTCATTTACGGAAAAAATACCTCAGCAAGGCTGACGAATATTTCTCTATAAGGAAAAAATACCTCAGCAAGGCTGACGAATTTTTTCCTACACGGAAAAAATACCTCAGCAAGGCTGACGAATATTTCTCTATAGGGAAAAAATACCTCAGCAAGGCTGACGAATTTTTGCCTATACGGAAAAAATACCTCAGCAAGGCTGACGAATTTTTTCCTATATGGAAAAAAAAATACCTCAGCAAGGCTGACGAATTTTTTCCTATACGGAAAAAAATACCTCAGCGATACTGACGATGAAAAAATACCTAATTTGCCACAGATCCTATTGACAAAAATACCTCAGGCTGACGATTTTTTTCCTATAAAAAAAGTACCTCAGAAAGACTGATATTTGTTTTCCTATATAAGACGATGACGATTTTTTTCCTATAAAAAAAGTACCTCAGAAAGACTGATATTTTTTGCTATATAAGAAAATACCTCTGGAAGGCTGTCACCTTCTCCATTCCTAAATCGAAAAAAATACCTCAGCAAGGCTGACGAATTTTTTCCTATACGGAAAAAATACTTCAGCGATACTGACGATGGAAAAAATACCTCAGATGCCTCAGATCCTATTGACAAAAGTACCTCAGGCTGACGATTTTTTTCCTATAAGAAAGTACCTCAAAAAGGCTAACAATTTATTTTGCTATATAAGAAAATACCTCTGGAAGGCTGTCACCTTCTTTATTCCAATGCTACCTATATACCAGGTTGCGTATGACTAATACTAATAGATTACAAAGGGGTCGTATAAGTGTTGCCGATACTTATACGTTGCTGATCAAATAAATACATTCTGGCTTAGTTTGATAAAAAAGAATTTTATAGAAAATAAAATTCTATATGATGTAGTTTTTGTATAGATAGGCCTCACCTTGACTTTTTTCTATTAAACTTATTTTGATGGTTATTTTGTCCTTGGTATTTTCTTGAAAATATTTCCACATTTCCTTTTTAAATTTCAATTAAGAAATCTGCAGTCATGTCATCCACTGAACCTACCTCAATGTTGTGTATCTTCATTTCTCAAATTTCCATGGCATAAACTTTCCCATTGCACTTCCAACCAAATGATGCCTAATTACATTTACTTAATTACCACAATTACCTAAGTAATTGCAAGGTAAACGTAATGAAAATAATATTTAACAAATGACTTGCTAATGATAGCTCGAGACGTTCAACAAGTTGAGGAAGAAAATGGCAAGACACGATGGAAACTTGGCAAGAAACACATAAACATAAATTGTATTTGAGAAAGGTGGAAATATTTTTATTAACATAGAAGAGCATAGTTAAGTTAATTTTAGGTAGTACAATTTTTTTTATTTATTTTATTTTTTATATCCTAATTCCTTTCCTTTTTTTTGCGCTCCTTCATTTCCAGATGAGCCCACCATCAACCAAGCCACCACAAATATGGTCGATGGCATTGATTTAGATGAGATTAAAGAATTTGCCAAAGCATTTAAGTTAAGACGTTTATCATTGGGCCTAACCCAGACGCAAGTGGGTCAGGCCTTGTCAGTAACCGAGGGTCCAGCGTATAGTCAAAGTGCCATATGCAGGTGAGTGAAAATACTTTTCATAATATTAGTATTTTTTTGTTATATTCGTACCGTAGAAAAATGTCCTCTGTAGATGTATACATTTTTATTTTTCTTAAAAAAAATATTAATAGGATTTTTTTAATTTATTAAAATTTTATTTATTTTTTTAATAATTTTTCTGAAAGTATTTAATTAAAATCTAACAAAAATAGTTGATTATATTTTTTTTTTTGTATTTATTAAAAGAGAGTTTTTTTTAATTTATTTTCAAATTTCTGGCTTCCAGCATGGGAGCGTATAAGTTATATTAATTTTGTGAACACTGAGCGTATAAGTAACGTCGTCAAGTATACGTATTTATTTTAATGAGTGATTTTTGATATGTCATATCCTTATTGCATACTTTTAGGATAATAATTTAAATTAAACATCAATTGAATTAAACTAACCAACAATTCCATTTTGCAATTATGCAGTGATTTTTATTAAACAAAAAATAATAAATATTTATATTTATCTGTAGTTTTATATTTATATAATACCAATTAAGTACAATAAATGTTTTTTCTGTTTATATTTATTTAAATATTTTTATTGTTTCATTTTATTATTATTAATTTTCCCTAGCCTTATATAAACGTTTTAATTTTTATTTGTATATTTCATTTTTTTTTCATTTACCACTACCAACTCTCTGAAGAGAAAATAGAAACATTATTTAAAAAAAATAATACCAACTAACCAAAAAAAAACTAGTAAATTTTTGTTATTTATTTATTGTGCCAGGACATTTGTTTCTTTTTAAAACTAAAACCAAAAAAATCAAACTAAAACTAACAAACAATTGCTAATTGCTTTTTTAAATACGAAATTAATAGTAATAATAATAAAATAAAATTTTCTCTATATATTATTTTTTCCATTCATTCTTGTTTACGGCTTTTTTACGATCAAACAATCAAACAAAACACAATTCCCCCGACACCCACAATCGAACAAAAAACCAAAAATCGAATTGATCCGAATCTGAAATAAAACAGTGCATTAGCTGCACAAATGTACGCTGCTCAACTCTCGTCTCAACAGCAAAACATGTATGTTGATAACGGAAATAATAAGTATGAATCAATCAATTTTTTTCAGTATAAACTAAAAATTTTACAAAAAATAATACTAAAATTAATTGTTTGCTTTGTTGTATTTAATATTAAAAAAATATTACAAAATTTAACGCAAATTAGGATCATTTAAATAAAAAGGATGTATATAATTATGTATGATAGAAACATGGTAATCAGGTAGAGCTTTCAGGAAAAGCTTTCTCTACACTATTGAAAATATTAAAATATTATTTAATTCGTATTAATGGTATATCTTCTTCTAATTTAAATTTAAAAAAAAAATTTGCATAGAAAGCTTTCGAAGCTAAATTTTTAAAATTATTAAAAAAAAAGAAAAAACATTTGAATAGTATTGAATGTATTAAAAATATTATCCGATTAAAGTATCTATCTATAACAAGCCTTTGTAAATTGATGTCATTCTATTCATGAAAAAGCTTTTGATCATAAAGCGAAAAGTTCTTCTATAACAATATCTTTTTTGTTTTTATGACTTTTTAGGGCGAAGGATCATTCATATTTTTTGTTAGAAATTGTTAGAAACATCATATAATCGAAAAAAAATAAATAAATAATTAGAGCTTTTTTGACAGATATGAAAAAGTAAAGATTTAAAAGTTCAATAAAAAAGTATGAAACATATATACAAAAAAGATATATTAAATTAAAAGCTCTACGGAATATAACATTAATGTTTTTAAATTCAAATCTTTAAAATAATAGAATTAATAATTATAATTATGGAAACTAATAACAAGTAAAGCTTAGAAAGCTCAGTATAATAAAATATCAGAATATCTTTTCTTAAATAAATAATTATAGCTTTTAAAGCTATACTTGTTAATATAGCTTTGTATTGGCATATATAGCTTTAAAAGCTCAATGTATAGGGATTTTATGTCCGTTCCAAAAGCTTATTCCGCACTAAAATAAAGTGACAGATTTTAAATAGGAAAACTGCAGAGAAGTTTTGGTATTTTCCTGTATTGAAATATGTAATTAAATCTTAAACTTTGACACTAGCTTTCAAAAAAGGAAAAACAATTACGTATTGGAATATGAAAGCTTTAAGGAATATATTATGTAAAAGTGTCATTCGAAGCCCTTGCAAAAATCGTAAAATATAAACGTAAAAAAATATATAAATAAAAATAGAAACCCTCAGAGCTTCAGAACAAATATTTTATTAAAAGCTATTGAGCGAGTAACAACGTTTTAAACCTATCATCCCCATACATGCCAAAAGCTTTACAAATGAATGTCTTTGAAAGCTTTGCGAAAGGCTTAATATAAAAAAGCTCTGAGAATGAAATATTGAATGTTAGAAAGTTAAATATTGATTTTAAAATATTTTTTCAAAAGCTTTCTCTCGAACACACCCACAATGAGCTTGTAATAGGAAACTAAAGCTGAACCTGTTATCAAATGCACCAAATTTTATACGAAAGCTTCAATGAATAGTCGTTTAAAGCTCTGTCGAAAACGGGTTAATAAGCTTATTAGAAAACTTTTCAAATTTTTGATAAAAAATAAATATTTTAAAATTGAATAACAATTAATTATAAATTTTATCTTTGAACTATGATTCGCATATGAGCTTTTTATTAATTTAATGAAGTTTTCGGATTTTTATATTAATTATTTATATGAGCCTTTTATTAATTTAATGAAATTTTCGGATTTTTATATTAAAATCACACAAGTTTAAATAAAAGCTCTTTGGATTTTTCAAATAATGTATTTAGAAAAAAATGGAATGATGATACGAAAGCTTACATTCAAAGGCTATTGTCTGAGCTTTCAAAAAAATCTAATCTGTACAAAAAGCTTTCAAACAAAACGTTAAATAGATCTGAAAAATTTTGTTTTAAAAGCTTTGATCAGACCTTTTCATATACAAAAAAAACTTAAATACAAAATAAATAAATGTGAAAATTTTTTTTAAAAGCCTAGTCAAAGCTTATAAAAGCAATATAATTTTTTAAAAAATATTTTTTTCAAAACTGAAATTTTTATGACAAATAAAATACCATTACCTTTAAATAGATAATTAAATAATAACAATTATTTTCGAAACTTTGCCTATTGTTTTCCGGAAATAACAAGTTCGATGATTTAGCACAGGACCTTTTTTAAAGAAGTGGAAAACTCTAACATAAATGTGACTTCAAATTTAAAAATAATAAAAACATTAAAGAATAATTTCCAGATATGAAAGCTATTGTAAAAAGCGTTTATCAAACTATTAGTGAACGTACAAAAAAAAGCTATAAAAACAACCACTGACATAAAAACGATTTACAAAAGCTTTCGTAATTTATGCAATTAGACTTAATAATAAATTCAACGAAATATTTTTTTCTAAACCACTTTGACAAAATATGTTCCTATACTGCGTTAAATTTTGTAATCTAATTTTTTTCCTTTTTATTAATTATTTATTTATAAATTAATTTAATTTTAGTATGCGCTAAACTTATAAATGAATCCAAAAACAGGCTGTGTTGTTTTTATATTGGCCAGGGCATTGCCTCATATTTTTATATAAATATTATTAAGCTACTTTGCTCATTGCAGAGCGGGAGATCAAGGACCTCTCTCTGTTTAAAAAAACCCATACAAATATATAAAAATTAAGGAACTTTGTTTTGCTTATTTTTGGCTTTATTATCAAAAAAAATAATTAGAATAGCAAAATTCAAATAAACAACAACCAAAAAAATTATACCCTGTGAACAGACAATGTCCTGGCACTATTTTTTTAAAATAAATGAAAACAAAAGCGCATACTAAAATAAAATAATACAACAACAATTAAAATATTTATTTCTTCCTAAAAAATACTAAAATTTTCAATTTTATAATTCCCCCATTTAGGTTCGAAAAGCTGGATATAACACCAAAGAGCGCTCAAAAAATCAAACCCGTTTTAGAGCGTTGGATGAAAGAGGCCGAAGAGAGGTGAGAGTATGGATTAAGTTCCTACAGCGTTTGCTATTAGTGGCGTTTCTAAGGATTTACTAACTTTGATATTTTTTCTCTTCTCTCCCTTTTTTGTTTTTGCTTTTGATCTCAGCAGTCACTGGAATCGTTTTAAATCGGGCCAAAATCATTTAACCGATTACATTGGCGTAGAACCATCGAAAAAACGCAAACGACGTACCTCGTTTACACCGCAAGCTCTCGAGCTGTTGAATGCTCATTTTGAGCGTAATACCCATCCATCGGGTGAGTGGTAATTTCACAATTTTGACAACGATTAACATGATTAATAATGTTTAATATTTTTGGAATATTATTTTTGGGATTTGATTTTTAAATTAAAAACAAAAGTTTTTTTTTGAATGCTTTTTTTATCCTTTTGAATTTTTTTTATTTTATAATTATATTTTTTTTCAATATTATTCTTGAATTTTTATTTTTTTTTTTTAATTAAGAAAAAAATTATTTTTGAATTTTTTGATATCTTGAAATTTTAAATTTATTATTTGAAATTAAAAAATCTATTTTTTTTAATCGAAAAATAATTCTTAATTTTTGTTATTTATTAAATACTAATAATAATTTGATTTATAGTAATTATTATTGATTTTTATTTAGTTATGTATTTTTTTTTTTTTTTTTGGAAAAATAATTATTTTATAAAAAAAATTAATTTTATTAATAACAAAATATCATTTCTAAAAAAAAATTCCAGGCACCGAAATCACCGGCCTAGCCCATCAATTAGGCTATGAACGTGAAGTTATACGCATCTGGTTCTGCAATAAACGTCAGGCTCTTAAGAACACAGTACGCATGATGTCCAAGGGTATGGTTTAAGGAAAGTACCTACCAATAATATTACCGTCGCACGACAAGGAGAGTGGACCACAGAGAGCAGCCATCTATGAAACAAACAAAACAAGGGAAATAAACTCTATTCCAAAACATCTAAATTTTTGTATAGAAGAAATTATTAGAAATTAAGAATATTTCAAATGAAAAATAACACACACACAAACACCCAGAAAATATAGCTTTGAGTTTGCAAATGAGCTTTTGAAGGGGTACATCATGGAAAATTGATTCTTTTTGAAGTGAAATTTTAATTCTTACCAAAATCGAGTTCATAGAAATAAGAAAGAGTTCTCTCATATTTCAAATTTTGTTTCTGTTCTTTTTGTTAAATTGTCATTAATTTTAGCCTGAAAACTTCGCTATTTATGCCATTTTTCTGTTAATTTTTTGCTGTTGTTTCATTTGTTTTATAATAACTTATTTTTATATATTTTGGAAGAATTTAATTCATTTCTAGGGATTAAAATAAGAATCACAATATTTCAATAAATAAAATAGGCCCCCAAACATTTCCCTAAGAAATAAGTATAAACATAATTATATTCGGCCAGGTCAAACTTTTTATAGTTTCGGCTAAGACCTTCAAAATACTGACAATGGATCGCTACCCTTCATGAGCTACTTATACCAAAAAAAAAAAACCGTCTCACCGGAAGTAAAATGCTGGTAAGGCCTTCTACATACCAAAAATGGGGTAGTTCCGTAATATGTGAGCTATACGAAAACCTAACCCCATTTTGAATAATTTTGACACGATTTGAACCTTAAAAATCACAATGGAGCCACTTTGGCTGAAAGACGTGCCCAAGCCCCCTAAAATACCGAACTTTGGAATGTAGCATTGTATGTGGACTCCCCCGGAAACTTGGGAAAATAATGATAATTTTTGGTAGAGAGATTTTCTACTCAATGATAATCCAAAATGGAAAATTACAATCGATTAGTTTTAAAAACCTGCCCAACTATTTTAAAATAACGAATAATGGATTGTTCCATTATATGGGGGCTAGCCTAAAACTTAGGTCAATATCGATAATTTTTGTAGGGAGATTTTCTACACAATCTCAAATCAAAATATAAAATTACAGCCGATATTGTGTAAACACTTGCCAAAGCGTGCTGAAGCTCCCGAAAGTACCGAAACTTGAAGGTTACCGCTCTATGGAGGCTATCCCAAAAAAAAGTGTACCAATATTGATAATTTCTAGTATGCAAATGTTACACTCCATAAGAACCTGTATAGCTAAATTAGAGCCAATTCGCATCAAAAACGTTTCCAAACCCCAAAAAATACCGAATAATGGTTGGTACCATTATATGGGGACTATCCGGAAAATTGGGAAAATATTGATAATTTTTGGTAAGGGAATTTTTTACCCAGTGAGAATCCAAAATACAACCTAATTTCGGTTGAAAAACGTGCAGAAAAAACACAAAATATCGAATTATATGGAATTCCGCTCTATGGAGGCTACCTTGGAAACTTTGACAAATATTGATCATTTTTGGTAGGAAGATTTTCTACCCCGTGAGAATTCAAAATACCAAATTGCAATCAATTCTGTTGAAAAACATACAGAAAAACCGCATAATATAGAATTATAGGGGATTCCGCTCTATGGAGGCTACCTCCTAAACATTTACAAATATCGATCATTTTTGGTATGGAGACTTTTTTAACACAATAATAATTCAAAATATCAAATTGAAGCCAAAGCGGCTCAAAAACCTGCCCAAGCTCCCTAAAATATCGAATAATGGCGGGAACCGCTCAATGGAGGCTACCTCGAAACAAGGAGCAATCTTGAACATTTTTGGTAGGAAGATGTCTAACCCAATGAGAATCCAATATATCGAATTGGAGCCGACTCGGTTGAAAAATACATGCCTAAAATCTCCAAATAATAGGGTGTTCCGCTCAATGGAGGCTACCTCGAAACAAGGAGCAATCTTGATTATTTTTGGTATGAAGATTTGCTATCTATTGAGCACCCAAAACTACAAAACTACAGCGGATTTGGTCAAAACGTGTCCAAAAGGCTTCAAAATACTGAATATTGGGGGGTTGCTTTCGTAAAAAATGGATGGACGCAACCCATTTGAAATGTCAAACATCGTAGATGCTCTAGCAATGTCTGTGCAACATTTCAAATCTTTACCAAAAATATTGTGATCTCCATCGTGATTTCAGCAGACACACTGTCGGACAGGGCAAAATCGGCTCAAATCGAATTAATAATGCATTTTTAAGAGCTCCAGATTTTGTAAAGAATTCGATAAGGCTTCGATAAGAATGAGGTCGTAAATTGTAAATTTTTCTGAAGATGTCGTATGAATTTCAAACATTCAATTAAAAAAAAAACAAAAACGATTTTTAAGATCTTTATTCAGCCCTCATATTATTTGTTGTCGACACCCACCATGTGAAGAGGTTAGGCTAAGTTGAAAGGAAAGGTGAATTATCTTATAATTCTAAGAATTCTGTTTCCCTAATGAAGTCCTTTAGACGTTTTTATTAACACCACCTAAATATATCCGACCTAAATTTGTGGATAGTGTAATTTCCCAAGAATTGTCTGCGAAGTTTTGCAAAGGCTTGGCAGTGGCATAGGAAATGTTCTAGCGTTTCACTGTTTTCCCCACACGCGCGACGCCTGTCGCTTTCCTCGCAACCAATCTTGTACCAGTGTGCCTGCAGGCTGAGATGTCCTGTGAGAGTAAGTGTCAGTCTGTTGATTTCATTTTTTACACGTTAATATTAGCTTTGTCTTATCTTCATTCGGATCTCCCCATAATATTTTGTTTGCTCTCTCCAGAACCCCTCGTTATTCCAAAGGACATTTTTGTAAGATTGGAAATATTTTTTTTTTTTTGTTTTTTTGGAAAACTTTGTTGTCGTCTCCACCTATTATACATATTGTTTTTTTTTTTGCATCATTATTATGTTCTATTTTTGTTGTTTATGATTGTCAGGATTTCTGAATTTAGAATAGATTTTTGTGACTCTATTGGGTTGTAGAAATTTTGGAATTTTCTGTTGTCCTTTCGGCTTCACCTATTGCACTTATACCTAACTATGTTTTATTGTTTATCATTGCTATATTTTGTATAGTTTATTATTTGTTACAGAATTCGAAAAAAATCTGTTTTACCAAAATTGCATTAGGCAATTTTACTTGCGGCAATTATCGTCTTTTTTTGCGAGAGAAGTGAATGGTTGTCATTAACCTTCAAACCTTCACACTACAGGAGTGAGGCCCTTCAAAAGCTCTTTGACAACCTTATAGCCATTCCCTCTACCACTCCTCAACTCTGACTCTTCACCCTCTCAAAAATACTGGAAATATTGGAAAATGTAAATATCTAAACTTAGACTAAGTAGTAATTTAAATAATAATAAGTAAATAAATGATGATATTATAAAAAAACAACAACAAAAACTTTTTGTAAAAAAACACAAAAGTTTATATACACACAAAAACAACAACAAAAAAGACACAAACCAACAAACCTACATTTTGTAATATTTCCTCCCCCTAAACAACAAATACCCACCCTAATAAACAAAAACTATTTTTCACTTTTTAGATACAATAAAAAATTATTATTATTAAAATAATCATTTCAATCACATAAATTTATATATAATATAATATATATAATAAATTAATAATTATGTGATTAAATGTGTGAAAAAAATTATTAATTATTATTTTAATTTTTTTAATTATTATTTTTTTTTATTAGTCATGTAAGTCTAATAAGTAAAAAAAATCTATTTCCTCTTTGTCTTTTACTGTCTCTGAAACAAAAAAAAAACACAAAATTAAAAAAAAAATAATATGTAAAGAAAATTTCCAAAAGAAAACTTTCTAAATATATAAAAAAAAAATACTAAAAATAAAAAAACAAAACAAACAACACCCCCCACAAAATTCCTATCAAACTTAGTTTAAACGTAACGTAACTAAAATAAAAAAAAAATAAAATAATTAATAATATTATTATTAATAATTAATTATTATATTAATAATAATATAAAAAAAAATTAAAAAAAAAATAATAATTTAATAATTTTAGGCCATATATATGTAAAGGTGTGTCATAGCATTTATTATTTTTATAAATATATATAATTTATTAAGTTAAAAAAAAATTAAAATAAAACAAAACAAAAAGCACACAAGGAAAAAACGACACGAATTTTGTAAGACATGGACTGAGAAGGGTCACGCAAGGAAGAAAGGATTTATTTTATTAAAAATATTATTAATTATAAAAAAATATTTCCCAGAGGTCAATAGGCTTTTAAATAGGTCGTTTGTTATTTTTTTATATATAAAAAAAACAATTAGTTTTATATAAATGAATATAAATTTATATAAAAAATAATTTCAGATTTGTTTCTATCATTTTTATACCCTCAGGCTAAGAGCTACCTATCAATTTAAAGTAGAAAAAAAAATATTTCATTGGGGTCCATAGGCTTCGAAATAGGTCATACATTATTTTTTTATATATAAAAAATAATTATTTTTATATAAATGAACATAAATTTATATAAAAATAATATCAGATTTTTTTCATTTATTTTTTATATACCCTGTCTAATGGTTATCTATCAACCCTCAAAGTATGCTACAATTTTGTTTACCAAGCCAGAGGCCATTGGGAAAACATTGCCTTTGGTAAAAATGCATTTTTGTGAGGTTTTTCATTTTCAGGTAATAGGCGCCCAGCACCGAACAGTAGGGCGTATTTCGGAACAGCATTGATTTCAAATGCAAATAACTCAGCGACTACTGAACCGATTTTCATAAAACTTGCACCAATGGTTAGAGGAAATTCTAAAGTTTTATTCAATATTGATTCGCAATTCGCAAATAAAATTATGTTATATAAGAGAAAATTAGCATTTTGTGAAAGTTCGAATATATTTAAAAACTCTACTAATTTCGGTTGTGGTTAAATATAAACGTTTT